GCGGGGACGTGCTGGGCGCCGGTGCCACCCGCGGGCCGCCGCGCCCGAGGCTTTCACGGAAACTGGTCTGAGATGTGGCCTCGGGGCCCTCCTCCCCCTCTGCTGTGCTGCCCCTACGCTAGCAGGGTGGCGCTGGCACTCCTTGGGGCCCGGGCAGGGGGCTGGAGAGATGCCATGTGACGGGCACTCCAGGGACAGAGCCTCGCACAACAGCTTATAATGGACTCTCCGGGGCCATTTGCAATAACAGCTGCAATTCCCTGGGTAGACTGAGTTGATTTCCTCCCTCTGCCCCTCCCCCAGTCATGCCAGCTCGCCTTTGTAAGTGAAGGAAACCGAGTAGAAAATACGACCCTCCAAATGGAGAAAGCTGCAGGCTTTGCCATTGTGAACAGTGGTGAAGTGCTTTTAACATACTGTGCACTCACTCTGTGGGATCTGAAACCTTTTGTTGGTGTTTTAGTTTTATAAGATTCAATGGCTTGTTCATCATCCAGATGTGGCTATTGACATATCTACACTTCGAACCGGAGTGTCTGGAATTGTGGCTATCCTGATCATAGGATTTTAACTTAACTGAAATACCTGTTTCTAATAAATATGCCGGGTTTTTGGTTTGGTTTTATTTTATACTTGCTGTTGGTGGGAAAGATGCACAGAACACATTTCTCTGATTTCCATTAACATGAAAACACTTGAAATCCTTGTCCGCCTGGCTTGTGGATGGTAATTAGAGTGCCTTTGTGTCTGAGCCGCTCACTAGTTAGACAGAGTCTGTGCAACCTGGGTGTGTATCGACGCTGGCATGAAATTAAATGAAAGTGAGGTCAGGTTTTGGACCAATCCCATTCACTAAAACCAATGATGGAGATGTTTTATGAAGCTGCCTCTGACTTAGCAAAGGACATCAGATCAGTCTGCCACTGCAAGTGGAGAGGCTTATGATGTTTTCCTTCTATTGTGGTTATTATGAAGAGTTGTTCCACAAGGTGGCCCTTAAGCCTGGGGCTGCTCAAGATGCAAACCTGCGGTGGGAAAGCTGGCAGGGTGTGTATGAAAGGACTTCGCTCTTTGCCCTTGGCAGGTCTGCTGCCATTCTTTCCCTAAGAATTCATAGTGAGGGTAACAGCCCATCTCAATCCCTCCGGTTCTGAGTTACTTCAGTCTGTTCCCTCCACATGCTAGGCAACAAGAATTCAGGGTTCAAGTCCACTTACTAAATGGGGACCTTGCCTTTGTGGGCTTCAGTCTCCTGTGTACAACAGATAAGAAATGAGATGGATGAGAAAGTGGGTTCATAGTGACTGGCAAGTACTGGAGATGAACAGTCTCTAGGCTTTTCTTGCCCAGGACTGTCCCTTGGTAGCCAAACAACTGAGTCCTCTGTTTCTCACGAAACAAGGGCAGGCTACGATTCCAAAAGTACTTTCTGGTTTGGGTGGGTATGATTTGGAGTCCTGATTTTCTAACTCCCTTTTGGACTCTGCTTGTTGTCCATACTTACCCATTCTCTCTCTTAAATACACATACAGACCCTGATGAACACACCAAGCCAGTCATTTCCCACAACCTGCCCAGAAAGGGTCGTGGCGGGCTCAATCCAGTACTGCCCAGCAAGGGAAGGGTGACTTCAGAGGCTCCAACAAACTGATGGGGGTGGGGGCCTTCAACAACGCAGTAGGCTACAGCTTCTAGGTGCTGAGCAGAACAAAAGTGGTCAGCTGCTGGCTTCCCCTAGCACTGGAGTAGCCCTGAGGTCCTTAGCCCATCTTCTTAGTTGGGGTGGGATTTCACAGAGGTCAAAGGGTTAGAAGGAATCCAGGGCTAAATTGGCCATTATTCAAGGCTACTTCAATAGTGTTGGCTTCTTGGAATGACTGATTAAGGCTAGACTCCACTGTAGGGCTCACACAGTACAAACCCCTGCTTAGAAAAGGAAGACTGGAGAAAACTAATGCCTATTGTCAGGCACTTAAATGCACTACAACCCTACAACCTCCCATCTTTTTAAAAATTCTGCAAGGTCTTAATAGTCACCCCCAAATCCTTTTTTGGAATAAGGGTTTACACAAATGACTTCTTAAAATTACTAGACCATTTTTCACGTAGAAAAAATGGTCTAGGAAGGGGACAGGACAGAGCGACCTACCAAAGTCATTTATGAAGTCAAAGACCTAACAGTCTAAAACTCAGGTCTCCAGGCTTCCAGTTCAGGCCTCTTCCCAATAGCTTAATGCCACCATACATTCAGTATTGTTCACTGCGCGACTCCAGAAATATACTACAATGTGAAAAACACCCCTCCAGTGTGGTGAACCTGCCATTGGAACCCTCAAAAACCATGCCCCAGATCCCAGGCAGAGCTCGGGAAGGCCAAGTATGTCTTAACCATTTTCTAACAAAATATTTGGCATCCTATACAGACTGATGACCCCAGAAAATGGCCTAGGTGAGATAAAATACCAAAGCTATAAACTCAATGAAAAAAACACAGATACTGGCAAATCAGTGATTTGGAGAAAAGAATGCCACACCTCACAGCTCGAGAGTCCGCTACCCCAAGGTTTCATTCTAAATTAGGCATAAATGCTACAATATTTGGATTCAATTTTTACCGTTTTTTGTTCTTTCCTTTTCCAGCTCAGAAGCAGAAACATGGAGCAAAGAACAGACACCACTTTCCTACCCAGCAAAGTCTGTGTTGAACCCTGTGATCCCTTCCCTCCAATCAGGAAAGAGTTGCCCTGGCAACCAAATTACTAACTCACTCAATTAGCTCCCCGCCTTCCACCAATGTTCAGTAATCACAGAATGTGAGCCCAGGGAAAGCTTCGCCTAGGCGGTCTAGTGCTACTACCTCATTTACAGATGGCATCCTAGAGAGGTTGCCACTCGGACGGAGGTGCACTCCATTTGAATACCGTGAAAACTGGTGGAGGCAAAGGGACAGAACTCTTCCATGTAGCACTTCCTCCTGGTCTTCCATCCATCACAGAAGGGAGAACAAGTGATCTGCCTGCCCTTAACGGTGTTTCCCAGAAGGGTAACAGATAAGAGCGTGAGCTCTGCCGGGAGCCCCTCATTGTTAAGCTGTTGTTATTTGGGACAGGGTCCTTAACGTCAGTAATCTCATCTGCAAAAAGGGATATGAACAAATCCTACCTTGAAGAATTGTGTGAAGATAAAATTAGACAGTGTATGGGAAGAAAATAAATAATAAACACTCAAATTGTAAAACATAGTTCCTGGAAGGTATTGCATGAAGACCACTACTTAAGTCTTTTGTGGGAAATTCTGCCTCTTACTGACTTCTTCAGTCTGTATCTTAAAAGGCATACACCTGTTTCCTCTGGAGAGACCAGGTTCTTGAGCATATAGGTAAGTGCTAAAGAGAAGTGCAGAGGAAGGGACACAACAGGCTAGAGGTTTGATCAGACAAGGGTGGAGGCACCCTTCTACCCCAACCTTGAAAGCAGCTCAGAACTGGGACTGGCAGAGTAGGGACAGCAGGAAGTATTACAAAGGGGATGTTTGTGGTGAGGATAACCTGGGGCCACAGCTCTTAACACACCCTATCAGAAAACCCATCCTTTTTTAATTAAAATTTGGTGCTCAACTATAGTTCTGCACGCCTACCCTATTCACTCCCATCTATAATTGGTAGTGAGGAAATCGTGCAGTTTCTTTGCAAAAGTGATCTTCATTTTGTTCTTACTCTTCATTTCATTTACTGTCATTATAGGATTATCTCAGGACCTCATATGTGCATGTTTTCTTTTCCCAGAGAGATTATATATTCTTTGATGGCACTAGAGTGACAAGATGAAGAGGATGCTTTAGGCAGATATCAGGCAACACAGCACATGAGGGATGAACTGAAGTTGAGGGGGGATCATTGATGGTCAGCCAGATCAATTGGATGGCTGTTAGAACATCCAGGCACCAGGCGATAAGGGCTTGGGTGAGAAGAGAGAGGAAAAGACAAGGGACACGTGTAAAAGAAAACCCATAGGCTTCTCAGTATGGTACTGTGTAGCTGTTAGAAGGTTGTCTCTGGGGGCAGACTGCCTGGGTTGCAATCCTGGTTCTGTCCTCTAAAGCTCCTTCCTGTGACCTTGGACAGGTATTCCACCTTTGTAACTTCATGTCCCTCATCTGTGAAGTCTGATAATAAAACTGCCTCATAGGGTTGTGAGGCTTCCCTGAGTTAAAGCCAGTAAAAATGCTTAGGCCACTGCCTGCATTTAGGAACAACACCTGTGTATTGGCATTTAGTAAATATTTGCAAAGCAAACAAATAGGGTGATTTCAACAGACTTGTAGAGACCAAGGAAGTAGGTGCTTGGGGCACAAATATGAGTTGTGGTGCCTACAAGTTCCAAGAAGATGAGAAAGGAGGGACAGTAGCTAAAAAGGGAAAACAGGGCCAACAGAAGGATTTGCTCAACTAGGAGAGACCCCATGCTTGTCTGAGTGGGAAGGAGAATGTGCCAACAGAGGAAGGGAAAGGAACATGCTATAAAGGACTAGTTTCCTCGATGAGGAAGGAAGGATGGGGGTACCTAGTCTGGACAGGTTTGAACATCAGGGTTCAGGGGGATTGCAGGGGTGGGTGTCCCACATGGCAGCGCCTTATGTCACAAACTGTCCTACCACAGTGAGGCCGGGGACCTGACAGTTGGCTATTGAAACAGCCTGGTATAAACGTTTCATGCCTGGGATGGCTGGGTATGTTTCTGTTGTTTTTGAGTGAATGAATCCTCCTTCTCTGTACCTTCCATTACAATAGAATGAAAACTGAATCTGATACCAAGGAGTTTATTAACTGCTCCCCCTTATCAATTGACTGACTCATAGGAGGAGAAATTCACAACCCCCAGATGATAGATAGGCCATACAGGCAGTTTGTTTGACTTATTGATCTGAGTGGGTTAAAAAAAATCACAAGCTGGCTATCATCTTGTTACCTTTGCCCTGCCTTTTGCCCATTTCTTTTTTATTGTCTAAATCAGATTCCACAGCCTAACATAGGTGAAAAAATGGTTTCCTAGGCTTTCTTGAAGGTCTTCCCCAGACGCAGGAGTCATAGTCACCTTTCTCCAGATGTACCACAAATAGACTTTTCTTCAGCTGGGCTACGGAGGGGAAGAACTCACAGTGCAGATGTTCAAAATACACTATTTAATGGTGCTGATGAAGTGAAATTGGATTAACTTCAGGGTTCAAAAAAGATAGTGAAAGTCACTGAGCAAGATCAGATTCCATATACCCTGGACCTGATGACAGAGGATTATGCAGAGATAACACTGGTCCAGCTGTTCATATGTGGGTACCTGGGCACGTGTGTAGACACACTCACATACCCACTAATCTCTTACTCGCCCTTCAGCCTCCTTGGGCTTTTCTCTTGGTTCTACTCTTACTTTCTCTCTGCTCCTTTTATTTACTCTTCCTCCCACAGAGATTTGATGAGTTGGTCTTTGTAAAGTGCTTAGAACAAAGCCTGGCATGTGTAAACACTATGTACATTAGCTAGTATTATTAATACTTCCCAACTGACAGAAACTCCCAGGCTCCATCCACCCCTTAGCAGTAACTGCCAAATCTTTATCTTGAGCTCTGATCTCTCTCCAGCTCCTAGTCATTTATGAGGCAGCAGAGTGCTGTCCCTATAACTTCCCATATGAAACTTCTGATCAGCCTCCCTCAACACACACACATACACACACATACTCACACAACCAGCTTCTCCTTGCCACTTCCCTATTGTTCTGATCCTTCTGGGCTTAAGACTTGGAGAATGTTACCAGGGAAACCTAGGCCTTGGCCCCTTTAGAAGACAGTTTTCTCAATGCTGCCTGCTCCTACACCCTTGATTCTGTGCCCAACAACTCCAAGGGACTGAAGATATCCCAGCAACAATCATTCCTGGGCCGAGTAGTAGAAATGGTCTCCACCACATCACGTGTGTGGTGGAAATGGCCATTGCTTCCTTGAGCAGCTTTCCCAGGCCCAGGCTCTCTACAACCTTTGCAAATAACTGGATCAGTGGCAGAGGCTGAGGTTCATGAGGAAAGGTTTGAGTAAACTCGGACAGAAGGCAAGAGGATTGACTTAAGATGAGGTCAGATCTGGCTCTACCACCACCAAGTCCTTCCTCTTCCCATTGTAAAGAGGGAAGTAACATCTTATAAAAGGTGCCTACCAGAGTGCCTGCCCATATGCAGGGCTCAGTTCCCTTTCCCTCCTCCCTCCACCTTGCTTCTCAGGTCCTGTAGATTTTCTCTCCTTGTCTGCGGTCACCATGCTTCATTCCTCAGGGCTGTTCTGGCCATGGTGCAGACCCACCGGAAATCTGCACAGGGCAAGACCTCACCATCTTGGCCCCATGCCCTCATCTTACAGACAATTCAAGCTTCTAAAAGCAGCAGCCATAAACCACTTGTTGTCTGTGCCTCCCTTATGCAATCTTATGGCCCCAAAGCTGCTTGTCGGTTCTTCCACAAGATGTCAAACCTTGCCTCACTCCCAGGGCTCCTTGAAAGAGGGGACAGTGGTGGTGCCAAGAATTATTAGCAGCTATCATTTTTTGAGCACTTAAGTGTTCCAGGCACTTCAGGTCCTTGTTTAACCCTCCCAACTACCCTATTAAGTATTATTGACTAGAGACGGGAAAAGCACAGAACCATGATCTGACCACTGTGACACAGCTGGTAAGCAGGAGGGTTGAGTCAAACTGAGTCACTAGCAGTCCCTACAGCCCCATAGTGGGAGAGTGCTGGGCAGGCAAGGGAGGAGGAGGTGCTGAGCAGGAGAGGTCCCCAAGGAGGGCTGGTTAGCAGAGCTGGGCTATACCAAGAAAGGCTTCTAAATAGGAAGGGGCTCAGCAAGGTTCCATACCCGAGTAAGATGGGGCTGAGGACTGAATAAGGGGTAACTTTGGTTAATCTAACCCATGCCTGCTCAAAGCAAGCCGTTTACAAATGATGGATATATTGCTGTAAAGCCATTTTCCTTTCCTTAGGTCACTGCTCAAGATTGGGTCTCAAAGGAGAAATCAGGCTGGCTTTGCCTGTGCCCTCCCCATTCTTCACACACACAGAATCCAGAGGAAAACTCACCTCCATCCACCCCCACCAGACACAACAGGTCACTTGGCTTCTGCCCTCTGGTCTAGAAAACATTTCTGGAATATGTTCTTATTCCACAAAAGGAGTGGAAGCCCATCTAGTAGCTTTAAAAAACCTGGACTTAATTGTTTGATCTTGTAGAACATCAACCCAGAAGTACTCAAATCCTACAGCTCTGTCAGGATTCTGCTGAGCAAACTGGCTCCAACCATTTGCCTAGGTCTCTCGAAGTGCATGCTTCATTATTAAGTTACCCTCCTTTTCTTTTCCCCACCTTCCACCAAAAAGCCAAACTATGCTCCAAAACAAAAACAGAATTTATTCAGCAGACATTTTAATTAAGAAATCCTATAAATCAGGACCACCACAATTTCAAACACTCCGGTGCGAAGTGTACATCAACAGCTACATCTGGAGGATGAACAAGCCATTGAATCTTTTTTAAAAAATTGGTTTAGCTACCTTAAAGTTTGAGGGTGGCACCTTCCTTAAAGCACCATCAAGTTTTCACAAGTAAAGCCAGAGGTTTCTCCTCTCCGAGACTCACATTTTAAACACGGCTTCCAGTCATTCACAAAGAAGAGCTGTGAGAGGTGAGGATCCTTGGAGACTCAGGGCCCTGGCTCCACAGAGAGCCAGGACAGAGCATAAGAAACAGCCCCGGGGGCTCATCCAATCCCATGCAGACACCAAAGAGGTGGAATAAGAAAGGCCAGCTGGGAGAACAGGAGAAACTCAAGGGATTGTTTACTGCTGTTTCTGAGAAAGCTCAAGGCACAACCAAGAGTGGCCTCAGGGGCAGAGGAAAAGTAGTAGTTATGGAAAGCACAGAAAAAAACAAATAAATCTCCCCACACGACCCTATCTGCCTGTGCATCCTTGGGAAACTCCAAGAGGTAGCAAAGCAGACAGGGCTCTTCTTGAAGCAAAATGAAGAAAATACTACTGTAGCTCTCCCAGGAACCCCCACAGCCTTTCAGGTACAGCAAATCTTGACTTTGAACCACAGCTGACAAGGTTGTCATTTAAAATTCTCCACTTTCCTCTGACCCCTTAATGAAGTTCACATCTCCGGCCTCCACACCTGTTGGGTGGGGGAAAGGAGGGAGCGATGCTAACCCACCAACCACCACGGTTTTACTTTCTTTTTCCCTCCCGAAGTTCTTTGCACAGCAGTTGTAGCACCATTTTCACCGAGCTCCTCCACCGGAAAATAAAGAAAATGTATGCGTGCCATTAGTTTTCAAGTATTGTTATAAAGCCCTCGCGATTCTCGCCCCTTGGAGCCCTATCTTTAAATAATCCAAGCACACGACGCCCCCAAGGGTTCAATCAGGTACAAGTCAATGCAAGTAGCTGCCATAGTTCTCCCAGTTTATCCCAGGTCCTTGGCCCCGAGGTGGCCGAGATAATTCTCACGCGCCGCGGACAAGCTTTGGCCCGTGCATTTTCCCCCATGCTCAAGTGTTCTCCGGCAGCCTCACCGGGGCTGGTACCCTCGCTTGGGAGCTCTCCGCACGCGCCTCCCAGCAGCCTAGGCGGTCGCTCCCCGATCACGACGGCGGCTTCAGCTCAGGGATGGTGACAGGAGGCTGTTGAGTATGCGCAGAGACCTCCTCTTCCTCTTCCAAGGCCCCCAGGTCAGTACAAGGTGCCAGAAGGCTGCAGGGCGACGGAATCCGGTCCGCTGCGGCCGCCTCCGGGTCCAGGGACGCCCGTGGGGCCCGTGACTGCAACCGCGGCGACGGCTCTCTGAAGCCTCCGCACCGCCTCCTTTATGAGGTTCCCCGAGAGCACTAGCTGCTGTAGGAGCCGGTGAGGGTCGTCATCCCGGGCGCGCGCCCCGGCTGGGGGCCATCGTCGCTGCTGCAGGCGGCGCGAAGTGACGTTGCCCCGCAGCCATCCTCGCCGACACGGCCTGGGAAGGGCGCTGAGGCCTGGGGCGAGCTCAGCCACAAAGTAGGGCGCAGCCCGGCCCCGCACGCGGCCGCGGTCCCCCAGGGCGCAGCGCAGGGCTCCCGGGGGCGCCGGACCCACCGCCTCGGCCGGCGCGGGAGGCACAAGCAGCGGCAACGCAGGAGTCCGGGCCTTGTCCGCCCGCACCGCCGCCGGGGGTCGCGGGGGCCGCAGCGGCGGCACCGAGGGCGCGCCCTGGGAGGCCGGGCTATCCTGAGCCGCGTCCAGCTGCAGCGTCTCGCCGATCTGGGCCACCAGCCGGTCCACCTCGCACGAGCCGCCCAGCGTCACCGACTGCTCCAGCAAGAGAAAGCCGCCGTCCTCCTCCTCTTCCTCCCCCTCCGCTTCCTCGCCGGCTTCCTCTTCCTCCTCCCTCCGGCACGGCATGGCCCCCCTCCCGGGCACCCGGGGCTCTGCGGGTGTCGCTGGCGGCTCGGCTGCTCGCGGGGCTCGGTGGGGCGCGACGCTGAGGCCGGGCCGGGGTCGGGGCCGAGGCCGGGGCCGGGCGGACGCAGAAGCCGGAGCCCACCGGGTAGTCGCGCCGCGCGCCTGCAGCCGCGGGAGCCGGAGTCCTACCGGCTCGGGTTGATTTGTAAACAATGGGTGACGTCGCCGCCGGGTCCTACCACCGCGCCGGGGCCGGGGCGGCGGAGCGACGAGGAGCTGGGGCGCGGGTACGTGCGACCAGCGCGGGTCGCGCCCAGAGCCTTCCTGTGTTTAATCTCTCGGTACCTGCCTGTAAGAGGAGCCGGGCGTGGGGAGAGCTTCTTACAGATTATATATTCTTTGATGGCACTAGAGTGACAAGATGAAGAGGATGCTTTAGGCAGATATCAGGCAACACAGCACATGAGGGATGAACTGAAGTTGAGGGGGGATCATTGATGGTCAGCCAGATCAATTGGATGGCTGTTAGAACATCCAGGCACCAGGCGATAAGGGCTTGGGTGAGAAGAGAGAGGAAAAGACAAGGGACACGTGTAAAAGAAAACCCATAGGCTTCTCAGTATGGTACTGTGTAGCTGTTAGAAGGTTGTCTCTGGGGGCAGACTGCCTGGGTTGCAATCCTGGTTCTGTCCTCTAAAGCTCCTTCCTGTGACCTTGGACAGGTATTCCACCTTTGTAACTTCATGTCCCTCATCTGTGAAGTCTGATAATAAAACTGCCTCATAGGGTTGTGAGGCTTCCCTGAGTTAAAGCCAGTAAAAATGCTTAGGCCACTGCCTGCATTTAGGAACAACACCTGTGTATTGGCATTTAGTAAATATTTGCAAAGCAAACAAATAGGGTGATTTCAACAGACTTGTAGAGACCAAGGAAGTAGGTGCTTGGGGCACAAATATGAGTTGTGGTGCCTACAAGTTCCAAGAAGATGAGAAAGGAGGGACAGTAGCTAAAAAGGGAAAACAGGGCCAACAGAAGGATTTGCTCAACTAGGAGAGACCCCATGCTTGTCTGAGTGGGAAGGAGAATGTGCCAACAGAGGAAGGGAAAGGAACATGCTATAAAGGACTAGTTTCCTCGATGAGGAAGGAAGGATGGGGGTACCTAGTCTGGACAGGTTTGAACATCAGGGTTCAGGGGGATTGCAGGGGTGGGTGTCCCACATGGCAGCGCCTTATGTCACAAACTGTCCTACCACAGTGAGGCCGGGGACCTGACAGTTGGCTATTGAAACAGCCTGGTATAAACGTTTCATGCCTGGGATGGCTGGGTATGTTTCTGTTGTTTTTGAGTGAATGAATCCTCCTTCTCTGTACCTTCCATTACAATAGAATGAAAACTGAATCTGATACCAAGGAGTTTATTAACTGCTCCCCCTTATCAATTGACTGACTCATAGGAGGAGAAATTCACAACCCCCAGATGATAGATAGGCCATACAGGCAGTTTGTTTGACTTATTGATCTGAGTGGGTTAAAAAAAATCACAAGCTGGCTATCATCTTGTTACCTTTGCCCTGCCTTTTGCCCATTTCTTTTTTATTGTCTAAATCAGATTCCACAGCCTAACATAGGTGAAAAAATGGTTTCCTAGGCTTTCTTGAAGGTCTTCCCCAGACGCAGGAGTCATAGTCACCTTTCTCCAGATGTACCACAAATAGACTTTTCTTCAGCTGGGCTACGGAGGGGAAGAACTCACAGTGCAGATGTTCAAAATACACTATTTAATGGTGCTGATGAAGTGAAATTGGATTAACTTCAGGGTTCAAAAAAGATAGTGAAAGTCACTGAGCAAGATCAGATTCCATATACCCTGGACCTGATGACAGAGGATTATGCAGAGATAACACTGGTCCAGCTGTTCATATGTGGGTACCTGGGCACGTGTGTAGACACACTCACATACCCACTAATCTCTTACTCGCCCTTCAGCCTCCTTGGGCTTTTCTCTTGGTTCTACTCTTACTTTCTCTCTGCTCCTTTTATTTACTCTTCCTCCCACAGAGATTTGATGAGTTGGTCTTTGTAAAGTGCTTAGAACAAAGCCTGGCATGTGTAAACACTATGTACATTAGCTAGTATTATTAATACTTCCCAACTGACAGAAACTCCCAGGCTCCATCCACCCCTTAGCAGTAACTGCCAAATCTTTATCTTGAGCTCTGATCTCTCTCCAGCTCCTAGTCATTTATGAGGCAGCAGAGTGCTGTCCCTATAACTTCCCATATGAAACTTCTGATCAGCCTCCCTCAACACACACACATACACACACATACTCACACAACCAGCTTCTCCTTGCCACTTCCCTATTGTTCTGATCCTTCTGGGCTTAAGACTTGGAGAATGTTACCAGGGAAACCTAGGCCTTGGCCCCTTTAGAAGACAGTTTTCTCAATGCTGCCTGCTCCTACACCCTTGATTCTGTGCCCAACAACTCCAAGGGACTGAAGATATCCCAGCAACAATCATTCCTGGGCCGAGTAGTAGAAATGGTCTCCACCACATCACGTGTGTGGTGGAAATGGCCATTGCTTCCTTGAGCAGCTTTCCCAGGCCCAGGCTCTCTACAACCTTTGCAAATAACTGGATCAGTGGCAGAGGCTGAGGTTCATGAGGAAAGGTTTGAGTAAACTCGGACAGAAGGCAAGAGGATTGACTTAAGATGAGGTCAGATCTGGCTCTACCACCACCAAGTCCTTCCTCTTCCCATTGTAAAGAGGGAAGTAACATCTTATAAAAGGTGCCTACCAGAGTGCCTGCCCATATGCAGGGCTCAGTTCCCTTTCCCTCCTCCCTCCACCTTGCTTCTCAGGTCCTGTAGATTTTCTCTCCTTGTCTGCGGTCACCATGCTTCATTCCTCAGGGCTGTTCTGGCCATGGTGCAGACCCACCGGAAATCTGCACAGGGCAAGACCTCACCATCTTGGCCCCATGCCCTCATCTTACAGACAATTCAAGCTTCTAAAAGCAGCAGCCATAAACCACTTGTTGTCTGTGCCTCCCTTATGCAATCTTATGGCCCCAAAGCTGCTTGTCGGTTCTTCCACAAGATGTCAAACCTTGCCTCACTCCCAGGGCTCCTTGAAAGAGGGGACAGTGGTGGTGCCAAGAATTATTAGCAGCTATCATTTTTTGAGCACTTAAGTGTTCCAGGCACTTCAGGTCCTTGTTTAACCCTCCCAACTACCCTATTAAGTATTATTGACTAGAGACGGGAAAAGCACAGAACCATGATCTGACCACTGTGACACAGCTGGTAAGCAGGAGGGTTGAGTCAAACTGAGTCACTAGCAGTCCCTACAGCCCCATAGTGGGAGAGTGCTGGGCAGGCAAGGGAGGAGGAGGTGCTGAGCAGGAGAGGTCCCCAAGGAGGGCTGGTTAGCAGAGCTGGGCTATACCAAGAAAGGCTTCTAAATAGGAAGGGGCTCAGCAAGGTTCCATACCCGAGTAAGATGGGGCTGAGGACTGAATAAGGGGTAACTTTGGTTAATCTAACCCATGCCTGCTCAAAGCAAGCCGTTTACAAATGATGGATATATTGCTGTAAAGCCATTTTCCTTTCCTTAGGTCACTGCTCAAGATTGGGTCTCAAAGGAGAAATCAGGCTGGCTTTGCCTGTGCCCTCCCCATTCTTCACACACACAGAATCCAGAGGAAAACTCACCTCCATCCACCCCCACCAGACACAACAGGTCACTTGGCTTCTGCCCTCTGGTCTAGAAAACATTTCTGGAATATGTTCTTATTCCACAAAAGGAGTGGAAGCCCATCTAGTAGCTTTAAAAAACCTGGACTTAATTGTTTGATCTTGTAGAACATCAACCCAGAAGTACTCAAATCCTACAGCTCTGTCAGGATTCTGCTGAGCAAACTGGCTCCAACCATTTGCCTAGGTCTCTCGAAGTGCATGCTTCATTATTAAGTTACCCTCCTTTTCTTTTCCCCACCTTCCACCAAAAAGCCAAACTATGCTCCAAAACAAAAACAGAATTTATTCAGCAGACATTTTAATTAAGAAATCCTATAAATCAGGACCACCACAATTTCAAACACTCCGGTGCGAAGTGTACATCAACAGCTACATCTGGAGGATGAACAAGCCATTGAATCTTTTTTAAAAAATTGGTTTAGCTACCTTAAAGTTTGAGGGTGGCACCTTCCTTAAAGCACCATCAAGTTTTCACAAGTAAAGCCAGAGGTTTCTCCTCTCCGAGACTCACATTTTAAACACGGCTTCCAGTCATTCACAAAGAAGAGCTGTGAGAGGTGAGGATCCTTGGAGACTCAGGGCCCTGGCTCCACAGAGAGCCAGGACAGAGCATAAGAAACAGCCCCGGGGGCTCATCCAATCCCATGCAGACACCAAAGAGGTGGAATAAGAAAGGCCAGCTGGGAGAACAGGAGAAACTCAAGGGATTGTTTACTGCTGTTTCTGAGAAAGCTCAAGGCACAACCAAGAGTGGCCTCAGGGGCAGAGGAAAAGTAGTAGTTATGGAAAGCACAGAAAAAAACAAATAAATCTCCCCACACGACCCTATCTGCCTGTGCATCCTTGGGAAACTCCAAGAGGTAGCAAAGCAGACAGGGCTCTTCTTGAAGCAAAATGAAGAAAATACTACTGTAGCTCTCCCAGGAACCCCCACAGCCTTTCAGGTACAGCAAATCTTGACTTTGAACCACAGCTGACAAGGTTGTCATTTAAAATTCTCCACTTTCCTCTGACCCCTTAATGAAGTTCACATCTCCGGCCTCCACACCTGTTGGGTGGGGGAAAGGAGGGAGCGATGCTAACCCACCAACCACCACGGTTTTACTTTCTTTTTCCCTCCCGAAGTTCTTTGCACAGCAGTTGTAGCACCATTTTCACCGAGCTCCTCCACCGGAAAATAAAGAAAATGTATGCGTGCCATTAGTTTTCAAGTATTGTTATAAAGCCCTCGCGATTCTCGCCCCTTGGAGCCCTATCTTTAAATAATCCAAGCACACGACGCCCCCAAGGGTTCAATCAGGTACAAGTCAATGCAAGTAGCTGCCATAGTTCTCCCAGTTTATCCCAGGTCCTTGGCCCCGAGGTGGCCGAGATAATTCTCACGCGCCGCGGACAAGCTTTGGCCCGTGCATTTTCCCCCATGCTCAAGTGTTCTCCGGCAGCCTCACCGGGGCTGGTACCCTCGCTTGGGAGCTCTCCGCACGCGCCTCCCAGCAGCCTAGGCGGTCGCTCCCCGATCACGACGGCGGCTTCAGCTCAGGGATGGTGACAGGAGGCTGTTGAGTATGCGCAGAGACCTCCTCTTCCTCTTCCAAGGCCCCCAGGTCAGTACAAGGTGCCAGAAGGCTGCAGGGCGACGGAATCCGGTCCGCTGCGGCCGCCTCCGGGTCCAGGGACGCCCGTGGGGCCCGTGACTGCAACCGCGGCGACGGCTCTCTGAAGCCTCCGCACCGCCTCCTTTATGAGGTTCCCCGAGAGCACTAGCTGCTGTAGGAGCCGGTGAGGGTCGTCATCCCGGGCGCGCGCCCCGGCTGGGGGCCATCGTCGCTGCTGCAGGCGGCGCGAAGTGACGTTGCCCCGCAGCCATCCTCGCCGACACGGCCTGGGAAGGGCGCTGAGGCCTGGGGCGAGCTCAGCCACAAAGTAGGGCGCAGCCCGGCCCCGCACGCGGCCGCGGTCCCCCAGGGCGCAGCGCAGGGCTCCCGGGGGCGCCGGACCCACCGCCTCGGCCGGCGCGGGAGGCACAAGCAGCGGCAACGCAGGAGTCCGGGCCTTGTCCGCCCGCACCGCCGCCGGGGGTCGCGGGGGCCGCAGCGGCGGCACCGAGGGCGCGCCCTGGGAGGCCGGGCTATCCTGAGCCGCGTCCAGCTGCAGCGTCTCGCCGATCTGGGCCACCAGCCGGTCCACCTCGCACGAGCCGCCCAGCGTCACCGACTGCTCCAGCAAGAGAAAGCCGCCGTCCTCCTCCTCTTCCTCCCCCTCCGCTTCCTCGCCGGCTTCCTCTTCCTCCTCCCTCCGGCACGGCATGGCCCCCCTCCCGGGCACCCGGGGCTCTGCGGGTGTCGCTGGCGGCTCGGCTGCTCGCGGGGCTCGGTGGGGCGCGACGCTGAGGCCGGGCCGGGGTCGGGGCCGAGGCCGGGGCCGGGCGGACGCAGAAGCCGGAGCCCACCGGGTAGTCGCGCCGCGCGCCTGCAGCCGCGGGAGCCGGAGTCCTACCGGCTCGGGTTGATTTGTAAACAATGGGTGACGTCGCCGCCGGGTCCTACCACCGCGCCGGGGCCGGGGCGGCGGAGCGACGAGGAGCTGGGGCGCGGGTACGTGCGACCAGCGCGGGTCGCGCCCAGAGCCTTCCTGTGTTTAATCTCTCGGTACCTGCCTGTAAGAGGAGCCGGGCGTGGGGAGAGCTTCTTACTCCCCTGGGCCGCAAAGCAGCACAAGAAAAAGGTGACACCGAGGTGCCCTGGGTTGGTTTCTCCCACTGGCAAGCACACACCCAAGCCCTCCTCCTCGGACGCTCCCTCCCTCCCCACGTGTCGGCAACTCTTGGGCGGGCGGTCTCCCAGCGCACCCGTAGGGGTCCGCACCCGGGAGTGGAGCCCGACAGCTGGGCGCCGCCGTGGGGTTTCCGAGTGGTGGGCGGCGGAAAAAGAGTGGGGAAGCTGGGGTGCAGAGGGCCCATTGCAGAGCAGGGCAGAATCGTTCTGAGGTCGGGTCCTTAGAGCCTTTCCCTTCCTCCCAGTGCTCCAGTCCCCAGGCACAGCGTAAGACGGACGCACCACCGCACCGCAGAAGAGTTGACTTCGTTCATTTATATAAAAAAAAAAAGTTCAAATAGACATGAAGCGGCAGTGGAAAACATCTCATAATCATAGGACTCAAACATACTGCACATTTAAAAAGTTTTTCCTTTACAGCCTTTCTCTTTGAAAGTATATTGTACAAACAATATTACACTTTCCCACTTCACATTACACTAAACGGTGTTCACGCTGTTGCATAACTTTGAAAACGTATATTACATAAATTTCCATCAAGTGGCTGTACCATAAACTATTAATTCCTTTAGCGTTTGCTGTTTACCTAATTTCACCGTTGTGTGTGACTTAACATTTTTGTGTGTAGGAATTTTTCCATGTTGATTTTTTCCTAAGGACATATTCCCCAGCAGTCCAGCTGAATTTCAGGTCAAAGAATATGGATATTTTAAGGTTCCTGATAAATTTACCAAATTGTTTTACAAGAGCTGGGTAAATTTACTCTCCCATCATTAGCATGTGAGCATACATTATTCATTGCAACTTCACTAATATTTTGAGTATTTAAATTTTTTTATTTCATAGGCAAAATTGACATCTTTCAGTTTTCATCTTTGGTTTTAATTAGAGCAGTTTTTCTAAATATATGTTAACTAACTGCACTTCCTTTTTTGTGAATTATTTCCCAGTAAGTTTTTATTCCTCAGTTTTTCATATGTATTTTCATGACTGCTTTAACCCTTTCATAAATTTTAATGTAGTCAAATCTACAAAATCCCTTCCTTTGAGACTTCTAACAGTGCTGAAGTTAAGAGTCTTCTTGATACTAGAAAGTTATTAAATATTCAGTTCTATTTTCCTTAGATTTTTCTAATGCCTTGATTTTTTTCAAATCCGTCTGGGATTAATTTCGGTCTTTGGTGCAGGGAGACAATACAAACAATTTTTTTTCCCCAGCGACTTTGTCAGTCAGGGCTGTTATTTCATCATTAGGACAGAGGTGTGTGGGCAGTGTAAACACAAGCTCTGTCCTGGGAAGCTCCCACTTGCTGGTTAAAATGAGAGGAATGGGTGGGGCTGCGAAAATTTTGCTCAGTCTGTTGTATAGAGTTGAAAGAACCCTGAACAGGTTGTACAGAGACCTAGATTCTAGTCTCATTCCTGCCTCTTCTTGAGTGTGTGGCTCCTGGCAAATCAGTTTACAAGTGTTTACACTTGTAAAATGGAAAAAATACTCTGTCCTGCCTCCCTCTGAGGATTGTTGTTGGGATCAAATAAGATAATGGGAACAGGCTTTGTTAGGCATTACACAAATGCAATGTGGGATGAGATCCAATGATTTACTAACAGAGGCCTGGCTCAATTCCAGCGATTCCCCCAAGGAAACAGCCAAAATATGAAGGATAAAGGTTCCTGCTTGTAGCCCACTAAATAAATGTACCCTGAAGCCATTACTTCCCTGAACTTGCCCAGTCCCTGGAATTCGGCCTCTCTTGTACCCTGACCTGGGATTGTTTCAGCTTTCCTGAAGTTAGCCCAGAGGCTCCCAGGCCCAAGGTGTGTCACTGTGACTAGTTCTGCAGGTTTTGGTGATGGATCCTTTCCAGACAGGCAGTCTCCCTCCTCCGTCTCCATGGAGGGCTCTTCACACACTTTACTGAAGAGGATTGGAAGCCATTCCCCTCTGAGAGAGTGATTCTCATTTTCATTCCGATGGTACTTACTGGAGAATTTCAAAGGGAATAAAAATTAGAGGAAGGCTTATGGATTTCAGTACAGTTAAATGGTAATTTTTCTCCCTCCTCTCTGTAAAATGATGCCTGCCTGTAAATAGAGAAAAGCAGTTTTATGCTCCATTGACTTTAAACATTAATGGAGCTGGTGTAGCTATTGTCTCTAACCCAGCATCCCTGGAAGTCGTTTTTGTCTTCTTGTCAGGGTAATTCCCATAGTGTTCTTTAGTACTATAGGAAATGGAGCTTTGAGATGACATTAAAAAAAAAAAACAACACTTCCCTTTGTAATGTTGCTTTTGTGTAGAGATTGCTATGTAAATCTGCCAGGACTTGGATGTTATACTCTTCATTATAAAGATGAGTTCATTATAGAAGACCAACTCCATTTTCTGGGGGCACATCTCTGGAGAGCTCTGAGAGAAAGGAGTGCTGTGTGGGGTCAGTGGGAGGCTGAGAAATACCCTGGATTAGGAATCACAATGCAAGATACTAGAGAGGCTCAGATGCAATTAAAAGTAATGAGAGGGTATCAAAAAGGGAGGGGATGAGAGCTGTGTGCCTGGCAGGCTACCTGTCTGCCTGGAAAGAGACACTCACAGAGGCTATTCAAAAATCACTTGTGGAAGAATACAGAATTCAAGGGGTTTCTGCATTAGCTTAGACTGCACTGAAATACTCTCCTAGGAGTTTGTCTTCCAAGGACTTTGCTTTCAGTTATCTTCACTCAGAGCCACCAGCCTAGGTGAAGTAGGATGGATACTGAGCTTGAAATCTTACCTGGATCTGGTTACTTCATCCTTCTGTGCTTCAGATTCTGAATGTATAAAATGGGAATGGTCCCTTCTTTACAAAATTATTACATGACCTGTATGGGAAGAATTATCACATGGAAGTCAGGGAGGGGGGAATATTGGAGTCAGGCTCTGAGGAGCAGAAGTAATCTTAGTGATACTCAAATTGAAAAAAAGGTATTGTGAGATTAGTTCTTTCTCTCACCACGGTTTGTTGAGGGTTTGGGGTTTTTTTGGCTCTTTCTGGGCTATATAGTTCTTTCCAGACTACTTTGTAGCATTTGAGGCTTGAGCATCACCTTCCACTGCAAACCAGAGATCTAGGAAGAGCTGCAAGCTGTGTCTAGAAGTCTGATGGACTATTCAAAGTTTAACCCAAACTGGACCCCGGAGATGCCTGGTGAAGAAAATTCCCAGGGAGTTCATCTGCCTCTCAATCTATCTCAGACATATTGATAAAGTACCTTGGTAATTTGACTCCCAACCCTAGTACAAAATTCTCTTCCCTTGTACCAGAATATCTGCCCCAACAGCAGGACCAAGAAAACATTCAGAGGTTTGGAGAAGGCATGCTATACAAGAGGAGGCATGGAATAAGGACACTGTTAACAGCTCGGAAAGAAAGGATGGAAAGGATGATACAGATTATTAAATACCACTACTTCAAACAGCTTTCCTAGATGCGAAGAGAAGAAAAGCAGAAGGCAGTTGAGGTTGAATCGAAGGTGGAAAGGTTTAGAGATAGCTGTCATTATTGCCTGTATCATAGAGATCTTTCTGAGGATACTAGCACAGAGAAAATTACAGCATAGAGAATAATTATGATGACAAGAGTCGATTTAGCTGTAAACCTTATTCTCATACTGTTTTTCTTTGTAGTAATTTTAGGATCATTATGCAGCAGCTTGGCTAGGCTACTCTGCTAGGACAGACTGTATACCAGTATTTAGATCTAAGTTCTGTGATGTCTTTTTCTTGCATCTTTCTATCTTGATACCAGTAATTTATAAGGAATCTATGCAGTTTGCATTTGAATGACTTCACTGTACTTTAGTTCACCTTTTAATTTTAGTTCCAAAGCAGCACTAATAATTCTCTAGGGTTACCCCTGTGTCTTAGAAGCCTTAAACCAGTAAGATAAAATCCAACATCAAGAATTTGAAGCCAACTAACTTATGCAGAAGAAATATAAAGAAAATACCTGGTGGTTTGGCTAGAGCCTTGTGAGGACAGGAAGAATTATAGTTTTCAAAAATTTGAAATGCTGTTTTCAGTAGCAAATAAATGTATGTATACAGGATCTTATCAAACTTTGAGTATGTTTTTTAAAAAGGAATTGTATATTGGTTTGTTATGATTTCAAATCCTAACCTGATTATGGCTTAAGTGAAGTTGTTCAGATCTAAGGTTACATTTGTTTATATTGTGGAGGAGGGTGATATCATCAAAATTGGGCTACTGAGTGCTTATTGATACGAACGCATGGAGGACCAACAATGATGTACCAGGCATTTAAACTTTAAATACCAAGAATTTATAAGTACTTATAAAGAGTGTTTGATTTGGGCAAAACAACTGTTTGTTCATCTATATAGCTCTCCAGGGACTTCGGGGCATTAGCTCCAGCCCTAGCAAGCTACTTACTCCTTGCTAACAATAGTGAAAACCATGCGGCAGCCCCATGTAGGAAATCATCATACCTGACAACACAGCACCTTTGTTCTGTTAGCAGTGAGTTCTAGCAAGCGACTTCCAATTCACGCTGGCAGCTAGACATTAGCTGTTGGTCAGCTAAGCCGATTCTTCTAAGAACCAACTTGTAGAAAGGTGTACCTTAGCTAAATTTAGACTTTATTTCTTTCCTCTCCCCTCTTGCCTGGAACAATAGTGTAATGAATCTATCATTGATTTGGAATATACTTTTTATTCGCTTATTAAAAAACCTTATCCTAGATGCTATGTCTTGTGAAATATTAATTATAATTCCTACAGTGAACCTGTGTTAAATAAATTATTGGCAAAGACAACCTCAGTTTCTGAGCATAATTTCTCCAAACAAAAGGCAAATTCTATGCTGTAGTCCATCAACAGATGAATGAATAAACAAAATGTGGCATATGCATACAGTGGAATATTACTTAGCCATGAACAGGAACGGAGTGTTAATATACTACATTATGCTAAGTGAACAGAGCCAGACAAAAGGTCACTTATGATTCCAAATCTAAAATATCCAGAATAGGTACATTCATAGATATAGATAGCAGGTTGCCTAGATCTGGGGCCAGGGGGAAAGAGGGTGGTGAGAATGTGGCAGGGAGGGGGAATGCCCGCTCATGGGTACAAGGTTTTCTTTGGGGAGTTGAAAATGTTTTGGAACTTGACAGAGGTGGTTGTTGGCATAACACTCTGGATGTACTAAATGCCACTGGATTGTACACTTTAAAGTGGCTAATTTTATGTTATGTGAATTTTATCTCAATAAGAAAAATTCAGTGCTGTATCTGGTATTTGAACTAGTTCTTTGTAACTGCAATCTATCTGCTGATATGAAGTAATCCTGGCTTCATGCTTCCAGTTCAGGTTGCAGATCTTTTTCAACTTTGCGGTCACATTGAAAACACCAGATCACCTGATTCCCTCACTCCCACTACATTGTTTTCCTGGCTGAGGTGAATGGGGTCGTTGTTCTCCCTCAGCATGGAAGTAAAGGCTAGTCCAGAGGCAGGCAGGGGAGCATGGCAGCCTGATGAAGATCTTTAGTGATCCTTCCCATCCCAAAGCTTTCTCCTGGTTCTCTCCCTCTCTCCTTTGTGCTAAGGATATGTGCTGGGGAAGTGGATACCATACAGTGCAGTAGAGGGGAAGGGGTTGTTTTTAATAAAATGACTGCCATCATGATTAACACAGATCAGTGGTTAACAAGGGGGTAGAAGCAGGGAGCTCAGGGGAATTTCGGAAGATGATAGAACTCTTCAGCATTCTGATAGTGGTGATGGTTACACACATCTACATGGGTCTTAAACCTCAGCACTGTACACCAAAACAAGTAAACAAACTACGTACACAGCACCATCTGTTGCTTATGTTGGTGGTTGCATAGGTATATACATTTGTCAGAGCTCAAGGAACACTTACGATGAATGAATTAATTATATGTAAGTGATACCTCAATAAAGTTGATTTTTAAAAGTTTGCCTTAGAACACAAAGGCCAAATGCCCTATGATTTCTCTATAAATCGCATCATATGGGGAAGAAGGAAAGATAACAAATGGGCCACTGGTTACAGGCCATCCCAGGCCTCATGGGAGAGAGAATTTCTTGGCAGAGTCACTATGGCCTGGGGCACAGCTTGGGAGGCTGTAACTCCACCCATCCCATCACCCAACACATTGAAGAGCATCTGCACTGTCCAAGGGACTGTGCCCCCATCCAAGGCCACAGTAACAAACCACAGAGGCAGACTTTATAAAGCCTCAGTTTGTGGTGGACCAAATAATGGCCCTTCAGGGACGTCTTATGCTGTAACCCTGGAGACTGTGAATATGTTACCTCACATGGCAAAAGGGACTTGGCAGATATGATCAAGTGAAAGATCCTGAGATGAGGAACTTATCCCAGATCGTCCAGGTGGGCCCAATGTTACTCATAAGGGTCCATATAAGAAGGAGGCAGGTGGGTCAGAGTCAGAGAAGAGAGGTGCTGATGGATGCAGAGGCTGTTCGGGTTGCTATGGTCGCTGACTCTGGTGGAAGCGGCCTCTAGAAGCAAGGGAACAGGTTCTCCTCTGGAACCTCCAGAGAGGCACACAGTCCTGCTGACACCTCCATTTCAGCCAAGTAAGACCCACTTCAGTCTTCTGACCACCAGAACTATAAGGTATCTGTGTTGTTTTAAGTCACTAAGTTTATGGTAACTTGTTACATCAGCAACAGTGAAGTAATACCCAGTCTAAAACAGAAACTTGTGAATCAATCATTATTATGTCCTAACTTAAACATGGGCTAGAAAAGGATTAGGTACCAAGTGTGGTGGTTCAACCAAGAAGGAACAACTCAGCCCAGTTATAACGAGTTAGGAAATGACTTCCTGTGAATGTAACCCAGGCTGACACCTCAAGGATGGTGTGGTAAAGCATTCACAAAAACCCATTCCCTCTTCCCTGGGAACACAGCTAGAATATGTTTCCCAGACTCCCTTGCAGTTAAATGTGACCAACTGACTGAGGTTTAGCCAGTGAAAGGTGAGCATAAACTGTGGGCTGACCCATAAAAACCTCCCTTAAATAATCACCTGGTGCTCCTTCCTGTTCTTAGAGAGGTGTCAGTGCCCAGGACAATCTTGGAAGCCATTTATGGAAGATGGCAACCTCTGCCCCTACCACCATCACACAACATCTAGGAACACCAGTAAAGACTGCTGGGAGACTTTGAAAACAACTCTACTGTGTTAAGCACTGAATTTCTGAGATTTTTACCACATCTAGTTTACACTAATACAGATGGGAAACGATTAACAGGGAAAAGAGGTGGCGAGAGTTGCACACCAAAGCAACTTGAACAAGCTCAGTATGGCTGGACCAGTATCTGGGGGAGGTAGAGGGGAGTGTGTGAAGGCTGGGGTGAAGAGCAAGCTGCACTGGTGAGCACTGGGTCAAGTGGTGAGCATAGGTGGGCCAAGACCTGATTTGCATTTTAAAAGAGCAGTACTTGGGGGGTGGAGCCAAGATGGCGGCGTGAGTAGAGCAGTGGAAATCTCCTCCCAAAACCATATATATTTTTGAAAATACAACAAATACAACTATTCCTAAAAGAGAGACCAGAAGACACAGGACAACAGCCAGACTACATCTACACCTGCGAGAACCCAGCGCCTCGCGAAGGGGGTAAGATACAAGCCGCAGTCCAGCGGGACCCGAGCGCCCCTCCCCCCAGCTCCAGGTGGGAGGAGAGGAGTCGGAGTGGGGAGGGAGTAGGAGCCCAGGACTGCTAAATACCCAGCCCTAGCCATCCGCACCCGAGGGGAGACACACAGTGCGTGCGTGGGGTGCTGGAAACTAGGGAAACAGGACAGTAAGACCTGTGAGTGGGTCCCCGCAGCCAGCACCCCTGGGACAAAGAAAAAAGCAAGTGCTTTTTGAAAGTCTTAAAGAGACAGGGACCCTACACCTGGACGGAAACGTCTTGGGACACTTAGCCCAGCTGCTGGGAATCTTGGGGAACTCCAGGCACCCTAACCTCCTGGGCGGCAGCACAGCTCAGAGGCCTCTCACGGAGATAAACAGCCTCCCGCCCATTTTCCCTCCAAAGGGGCTCTGCCATAGTGGAGAAGCAGCCTGAGGCAGTAGGGCAGAGCTTCTCTCACAGCGGCAGGGTAAGAATTAGAAACCCCGTCTGCGCGCAGCTGCCCAGCACAAGCCACTAGGGGTTGCTGTTCTCCCAGGAGAGGAAGGCCACAAACCAGCAA